TACGGTTTACGCTGGTTGGGCACCAGTGAAGGACGACAAGATGAGAAATAGGATCATCTTTTCATCCAACTTACCTCTTGTCACCTCTTGTCACACACATGTCACAAGTGGATGGATAATGGATTGGTTGTCCCGCCTTACGGATGGACCTCGACAAACATGTGACATTGTATGACAAGATGGTAGTGTGACATTGTATGACAAGAGGTAAGTTGGATGGATAATGGATTGGTTGTCCCGCCTGCGCTTACGGTTTACGCTGGTTGGGCACCAGTGGAGGATGATAAGATGAGCATGAAGTCAGGTCTATTAGCCCTGCTGAATTTATCACGATGGTTTCCGGGGAGAGCCGCGTGGTTGTGTTACTAACAATTGGGTCATTAGTTTAGAAGTCATTAGAAAGAGATTGTTAGTAATGTGGACTGATGATCTCATTGCTAGCAATGTACCATGTCAGGTTGACCTCCACGCGGTTCCCCCTGGAAACCATCGTGATAAATTACTGATGAATTTGTCAGGATGGGCTAACTGACCTGACTTCATGCTCATCTTATCATCTTCCACTGGTCCCCGCCACTTTTCATAAGGAATATGTAACTCCCCTAACATTGGGATAGTCAGGTGACTTATAACCCCATACCTAGCAATACAGCATGTCAGGTTGACCTGACGTGGTTCACTTGGTTCAACCATTGTGATAAATTCTTAGTGCTTGGCCACAATATGCTAATTGACCTGACCTCATGCACATATAACATATATATTTATTCAAATCTTATTTATACATATACTATATATATGTTAGGTATTTATATTCGATTTGTTGTATATAAAAGTAGTATATTAAAATAAAAGTAAATTACAGATATACAACGTTATGTAGAAGAATTAGGAGTACAACAATAAATCAGTATGTCTGCAGAAGCCATTTTGAGATTTCCCGCGCAATCCTACATGCGCCACAGATGCAATATATTGCACGGCGCGCAGGCGCAGTACGATGACGATCGCGTCATAGCTGTATGCGCGATGTGAATACTATGAGGCATTAACATATATATGTATAAAATGGTTCCCTGACAAAGTTTGGTTATTTTATATGTTAGATATCCCTGTGGATACATTGATATTATTATATTTCATGTTATACTAATAACAACAAGGGAGCATTGCATTATCAAATATCAGATCGCATTACCTCTTTTACCTTTAGATATTTTCGTTTATAAAAACATGTCATTTGATAATGTAATACCCACCTAAATTATGATACAATTTAATATGACAAAGTACAAATGACTTATTTATTATGTACATATACTTTTTTATTAAAAATAATAATCGTAAGGTGCGTTCACGTGGTCAAATTTTTATTTATATTTTCAACAAACATTATTTTGGCGGTTGTAGTAGTCGCGGTTTGGTCACCGAACAGTCAACACTAGGCTTCCAAGCTATATCCGGACTCTATTCAATGCCTGATAATGCCTCGTTCAGGGATGATACACGTGTCGCAATATAGGTGTAGACTCAATAACAGTCGGAATTTGTTCTACATTAGAGAAGGTTGTAACGGTAGTCAAGGTTCCACACTGAATGTTCCCCCTCCGATCGATCCCCCGTCCAATTTAACGGGGATCGATGTTACGACGGCCTGAACCGTGGTTCGAACCCCTAGTGGTGCCCTCAGACTAAAGTCGTATCCGTCAGGCGGAGTTGGCCTTCAGCCGCTCCATAAGTCCTTCCTTGGTTTGGAGTGCCATCTGCACTCGCCCCCTATCGTCCGGTGAAGCTGTAAAGGCCAACTGCGGCCAATGACATTAGAGTAGTCCGAAAAAAAAACTGAATATTTGTGGTCTCACACATGGTAATTATCGCGGAATTAAACAAAATATTATAAATCCATTAAATAGTGAAATGGCAACGCAAAACAACACCTAATTCGATAAAATAAATTTATATTAAGTTAATAGTCGGTAGTCTAGCGATTTAGTACACCATCTCACTTCCGATGGTCGCGAGTTGGATTCCTCGCATGGCACAAACTTTTGTATTCATGAGTAGCGTTGCCAGACGACCCGTATTTCCCGGGACGTGCTGTATTTTAGGCTTAGTTTAAAATATTCCGGCGGGACTGATTCTGATAGTTTTTTTTCGACAAACAGTGTACGATCTCAAATGTATATCTATCTTTTGTTCTAGCAATAAATAATAATAAATATTATTATTTATTACTATTAGTAGATAATTTTTCTATTATATTGACTCTGATGAACAATTCAGGGGGATTATGAAGAAATTGTTAAATCGAGGAAGTCGTTATATATGCAATATTAAGTTACACTGTATTACATTTAACAGTTCAAAAATTATATAAACTTAGTATACGACGACCTCGGTGGTCTAGCGGTCTAGCACACCGCTTTACGTCCGATGGTCGCGGGTTTGATTCCTCGCACGGCACAAACATTTGTGAGTATGATTGTTTGTATCGGTCTGGGTGTTTTTTATGTATATTATGTATGTATTTACAAAAAAAAAATCTATGTATTTGTATCAGGTATCTAGTACCCATAACGTAAGCTTTAGCTAGATTAACTTGGGTCTAGATGACGCTGTGTGAATTGTCCTGAGATTATTAGTATTATATCGGATAAGAAAGAAGATACAGACTTTATACATAGTATTCTACATACCTGCGTCCTGAATACAGAGGTACGAAGAAGGTAAAAAGAAATCTCCAAAATTGTTTCGTACATTTCAGGCATGATATTTTTCTTACTACTATTTGTGTATTTTTTCGTTGTGTTTGTTAATTTTACTTATTACTGTAAAAATGTCTTTGTTACCTTCTTATGAGTTATCAACAAATATATATAATTGTACGGTGTTCTAAAACTCGCTATCAAAGTTTTCGTGATTATTACCTATATTAGTTCACGCATTGAAAGGTCATGGGGATCCCTACAATAAATGCCCCGTGCAATTCACGCAGTTATTGTAATTAAGACTGTCAGAGTCGAGGTTGGAGCCCCTAGCGATGCCCTCAGACTAAAGTCGTATCCGTCAGGCGGGAGTTGGGCTTCAGCCCGCTCCATAAGTCCTGCGGGTTTGGAGTGTCATCTGCACTTTCCCTCAATTGTCCGGTGAAGCTGATAAAGGCCAGCTCCAGCCAACGGTTAGGGTGGTCCAAAAAAAAGGTCATATGGTCAAAGTTCAATACTTAAATATTAACATGAGGATAAAAATATAATTTTAATAAAAGATATATAACAAAACATGATAATTGTAACATCACTCCTGTGGTTTACATTACAAAAGGCTTGTGAAATAATGTTACATTTAATTAATTAAAATTAAAATAACTATTCCATTGTTATTTATTGTATGAAACAGTTTTATGTATTTACTTCCTGTTAATTGTAGGTTGTTTACAAATATATAATAAACTGTATGCGAGTTGAAACCGTGGTTGTATATATATTATGTAATTTATACTATATTCTATACAGATTCACAAACAAATGAAGGTTGCAATGTTCAGTGCCGTAACTACAGGGTGGCAAGTCGGCAAAATGCCACGGACCCCCAGCCGGAAAACGCTCCCGGTCAGTGAATACCAACTCCCAACATTTATTATTACACATTTTACCTACTTAGTTGCATACATAAGTAAAAAAAAATACGTCTCAATGCATTTGTTGTAAAAAATAAAGTTTTTACAATGACATTATAAAAAAAAATTGCTTTAATTGATTTAAGTTGCCTACTTAGTTGCAAACATAAGTAAAAAATACAGTTTTAACGCATTTGTTGTAAAAAAAGTTTTTACGAGGAGAATCATGTATAGGCCGTAACATCTGCCTCTTTTACAGGTTCTTTGTATCGTTACGTCATTGACAATGTTACTAATAAGAGATTTTTTTAAAACATAATAATTCTCAATTTTCCTTTACACATACTGTCTTTTACGCACGAATAGGTTTTCATATAAGAAAGAATGAGCATATAAATGTAGACAAAGAGAACGAGAGAGACCGCGCGCGCCAGTTCCAGCATTCCCGCGTCATTCAATCGTGCGTGCTTTAGCGCCATTTTGTAATAACTTCATTACCATTGCAAAATGGCGGGCATTTGACTATAGACCAATAACATAAATATAGAGTTATTAATAATTTACAAATCTTTATGAGTCTCTGATAAATAAAATCTGTGATATAAAAAATAAAATTTAAAAAGAAAATCTCATGAACCATACACACAAACGGGCGAGAGTAAACAAAAAAAGTTGCAGTCCGGCTGGCTCAGAATTTGCGTTTCGGACAGGTCGGGATCGAATGGGTGATGTACATAACTTTGAACTGACGTACAAGTTACGGCAAATTTTTAAATAACATTTATTTGCTTTATAATGAGTTAAACATAACATAAAAAATTTAATCATTATTCCAATTTACAATAAACGTTTTAATTTTGGGCTAAAATTATTAGCTATTAACTACTAAACAAATATAAAAACGATCGGTTTTTAAAAGTCATAACACATCAAACTGCGCTGTTTCAAGGTTATTTGGTCACATCACTATAAAAACAAACGGTTGATTGGTCAATCCCGACCTATCAGAAACGCAAACTCCGAGCCTATTGTGGGCGCTGTTTTTCCCGCGCTAAATCACTCGTGAAAGGATGTAAAGGCAGGTAATATACAGGAGTATTCGGCAATAAACGCTGCTGACTACAGCAGAAATTTGTTAGCATTGTAGTTACAGCATGAAATTCGTGTATATATATATATATAATTTACGAAAACCCCTAACCATTTAATAAAACTATCTGTATAGACACACTATATGCACTTTACCGGTATTAATATATATTGCCCTAATAGGGAATAAAACTAATCGTTGAATCGATTAAGTTAATTTTAATTAATCATTAACTCCGAGTAATTTAACAATAAAAATTTATCGTTAACTCGATTAATTTAACGATTATAATAAATTAACCTTTAAAAATTTAACGATTTACATTAAGCATTAACTCGATTCATTTAACGATTTAAACTTTTCCTTATATTGAGTAATTTAACGATTATAATCGATCGATTACAGCAAATTAAAATTAATTTTAAATCGTACTACCAGAAACTAAAATACCATCCTGATCATCTTTATGAATGCCAACCAATGAAAACTTTTTGCCACGCACAACCACATTGTTAAATCACCTTACAGCAATGGTATTTCCGAACTGATACGATATTAAAACCAGAGCTTTTTCCTTCTTAAACTGGCAACACACATGCAATTACCCCGGTATTGCGGGTGCTCATGGGCGGCGGTAATCTCTTACCATCAGGTGAGCCGCATGCTCATTTGTTGTTAAGCCATAAAGTAGGGGTATGAAAATAAAAAAATCATAGTACATTAATATCATATTAGAAATTATAACAGGCCTAATTTGGACACATCTATATTTACCCTGCCATATCCACTCGTATCCTTTCGTCCGCTTCCCCCACGTCACCTGTCAGACTTACCAGCATTGTGCAGGTGATTGGGGGCATCAGCGAACGCGAACTTCAACCTATACGCTTCAGCCACTAACATACTAATATTTGAGTCCGTCCAGTTCTGAGTCGGTACGTTTTGCAGTAATATCATGAGGCCTTGGAAATCCTTTTCCAGCATGAGACGCTCGCGCCAGTGGAGTAGGAAAGCTGCGCATACGTATAGCTGGAAGGTAGCGAAGCCATCAGACTCTGCGAGGTAGGTGTCCCATAAGCGGATGGTGCATGGCAGTGGTATCTCCCTGGTGAGGAGGTTGTTCATCCACCGGAACGAGAATTGGAGGTAGTCCACGCCATGGGTTTGCAGGTGTTCGTGGAGGGGTAGATTTACACGGCGGATCAGATCTTTTAACTGGTTCACCTGCATGTAATATCATATTTGAAAGACGAGGTACGGAATTCTTTGTAATCTATACCATATAAATAAAATTGGAGTCTCTGTTTGTAATATTGAAATAACCATTTTTTACTACGTGCATATGAATATAAATACGGTACATACACCAAAATAACACTTTTAAAATTTTTGTCTGTCTGTCTGTTTGTTCCGGTTTATCTCTGAAATGGCTGGACCGATTTTGACGAGACCTTTATTGGCAAGAAGCTGATGCAATAAGGAGTAACTTAGGCTACTATACATATAAAATTGGAGTGTCTGTTTATAATATTGAAATAACCGTTTTTTACTACTTGCATATAAGTATAAATAAGGTACATACACCAAAATATTTTTTTTTATTTTTCTGCCTGTCTGTTTGTTCCGGCTTATCTCTGAAATGGCGGGACCGATTTTGACGGAACTTTTATTGGCAGGTAGCTGATGTCATTTTATTAAAAACATCTTTTATACTAGAAAATAGCTAGTTTGCCATAAAGTAGTCGTGTTAAGACCCAGTTAATAATATAAATAATTTATAAAAAAAGGACTTACCTTATACTGAATTCCGAGTTGAGCAAATATATAATTATCCTGTATACTGTCCAAGAACTTGGAGAGACACCAGAACGAGTCGGCCTCTATGATATCACGCTGCGACTCCGTGAGCTTATCCAGGGGGAAATTGTCCAGCTCCTGCCCAGGGGCGGCCTCCTGGAGGAAGACCATGAAGAACGGCGTCACCAGGTCGTTGATGCCTTGGACATATCCGGAGGCTGGGTGTCGGATAGCCCAGATGTAGAGTATACGTTCGAACATCACCTGATGATCAGAATTGTTATTCATTAATTTATATACATGCAAAGTGAGCAAATGTGGACAATCTCTAAAAGAGATCTCCACCAGTCACCCCAACAGTGAGGCATAGCTATTAGTGAGGGGTTAACACTAGTATATACTATTTATATATTAAAATTTAGGGTTGTATGTATTATTTAATGTCAAAAATATTATGTCTATATATTTTTTTCTACAACTTTATGTACGAGACATAAAAACTCTTTTGTAATTATTTTAAATTACGAACGCGCTTCGCATTCATTTGTTTTAAGAATAAAAAATATTATTGGAGATGTGAAAATTCCATCATGGCGTTTCATTTATATCCACAAATATTCAACTATGATTTATACATAGTTAATGGTCCTTCGAGCCGGATATGAACCAGCGACCTATCTCCACAAATATTCAATTATGGTTTATACATAGTTAATGGTCCTTCGAGCCGGATATGAACCAACGACCTATCTCCACAAATATTCAACTATGATTTATACATAGTTAATATTCCTTCGAGCCGGATATGAACCAGCGACCTATCTCCACGAATATTCAACTATGGTTTATACATAGTTAATGGTCCTTCGAGCCGGATATGAACCAACGACCTATCTCCACAAATATTCTACTATGATTTATACATAGTTAATGGTCCTTCGAACCGGATATGAACCAGCGACCTATCTCCACAAATATTCAACTATGATTTATACACTATCTGTTCTGAGATGCTTGTTATCTAGAGCAGCTTACTATTGGAAATTTCTACTCAGCAGCCTAGAGCTACTGTCGGTCTTCTAGCTTCAGGATATGATGGCATTTTAGTCGTCTCATATACAGTCCCATGATGAGTTGTCGAAAAAGTTAAATAAATTTTGTCCAAAATATTTAAAAAAAATACTCGGTTACCTATTTCACTTAGAAGTATAAAAACAGGTGAATAGGTTACCTGCTTCTATACTTCTAAGTAATACAATAAGCAGTAACTTATGCTACTATGCTATGCAGGATACATATAAATAAAATTGGAGTGTCTGTTTGTAATATAGAAATAACAGTTTTTTACTACATGCATATGAATATAAATACGTTAGATACACCAAAATAACACTTTTTACAATTCTTGTCTGTCTGTATGTTGTTCCGGTTAATCTCTGAAATGGCTGGACAGATTTTACAAGACCCTTATTGGCAGGTAGCTGATGTAGTCCAGGATATGATGGCATTTTAGTCATCTCATAAACAGTCCCATGATGAGTTGTCGAAAAAGATAAATAAATTTTGTTCAAAATATATAAAAAAAAAATACTGGGTTACCCATTTCACTTAGAAGTATAAAAACAGGGAAATTATTCTTCTAAATTTTCGAAATTTCATCTAAATTTATTAAGCCGTTTCGGAGAAGTACGCTAACTAATTCTGTGACAAGAGAATTTTATATATTACAAAGAGTATGATGTGAAATGTATTGTACCATGTAAGAAGCAATAATTAAATAAATAAATGATTTATTTGTAAACTAGCTGATCCGCGCAGCTTCGCCTGTATCACAGTTACTTGATCATTTATCATTATATTTCGCTCAATTTACATAAAACTTTTTTAAATTACAACCTTCACTAAACATCATTCGCAATGAAAATTATAAAATCCGTGTGAAACTCATAGCCTGTGTTATTCTGATGTATAAGCTATATTGCTGTAAAGTTTCATCGAAATACGTTTAACACGCTAAACGCAATTATAAAGATGCCAAAAATACTTTTTTTGTATGAAAAAAAAATCCCTTTGATTTTTAATTTGGGATTGAAATTTTCCAGAAAAATAAAGAAACTTCATTTCGGTCACCAGTGACCACCGTGGCGCTGTGAGACAAAAAACACATTTTGTATTCGCGTGCGCCACGAGGTTATGAGAGAGTATTGTTGTTGAGCGCCGCTCCGGTCATTCTAGTACTACAAATGTATGAAAAAATCACGCGCCGGCACCCAACACATCTCTAAAGTGAGGTCACGGGTGACCTACGCGGCGCAAAGATCCAGACATTATGAAGTCATCGGTGACCTACGCGGCGCAAAGATCCAGACATTATGAAGTCACGGGTGACCTACGCGGCGACCTACCTAATATTAGTAAGATGTTGTCATATCAACTTTGATTGATGGTTTGTATATTATAGATAAAGTAAAAAATCTTATCACTAGTAAATAACTAGATAATCTGTGGCCATGTTATACAGTGGGGGGGGCGTGGTACAAACATTTGTAATCATGAGTATGATTGTATCGGTCTGGGTGGTTTCTATGTATGTTATAAAAAAAAATATTATTACTTAGATGACACTAGAGATTAGATGGCATGTGAAATGTCCTGTGTAATAATTATTTTTATATAATATTTTTTTTTATTATGTTGTATATGTTATGTATTTACAAAAAAAATATTATATATGTCTTTATATCACTTGTTTAGTACTCATAACACAGACTCTACTTAGCTTGGGACTAGATGGCGCTGTGTGAATTGTTCAGGGATATCATTACGTAGTATAAAACAAAGTCGCTGTCGCTGTCTGTCCGTCACTATGTATGCTTAAATCTTAAAAACTACGCAACGGATTTTGAAGCGGTTATTTTTTAATAGATAGAGTGATTCAAGAGGAAGGTTTATATGTAATATATAATAAATATTAATTATCTTTATATATAAAAAATTCGTGTCACGTTGTTTGTTCGCGGTGGACTCCTAAACTACTGAACCGATTGCAAATTTGATTTACACATTGTGTGCAATTTGATCCAACTTGAAAGATATGATAGCTTACATCTCAATTTATAGTCGCAATATTATTTTATTTAAGAACCTTGGCCACAGCAATGCGTGGCTGGTCTGCTAGTTAAGTATATATAACAACTATTTTCTCCAACCTGAACAGTACTCTGCTAAAATAGCGCGACGAGTGGACTCATCTGGGGTTTGTCTATGTATATGTCTGCTTAGTTAGATGGCGCTGTATGAATTAAGTATTATGAATGTCCAGCAGTGGACTGCAGTGGGCTGATGATGATGATGTATGAATTAAGAGATATTGTTTTTCTATTGATGACAGTGGAATGGTACACCCGCCTGTGCTAACGATTTGCGCTAGCGGGGCACCAGTGGAGGATGATAAATTAGCATGAGGTCTGGTCAGCCCATTGTGACAAATTCACCAAGAATTTATCACGATGGTTTCCAGGGAATACCGCGTCGAGGTCAACCTGACATGGTACATTGATAGCAATAAAAAAATCTGTCTAGAGATATTATTATTAAGTACTAGCAGACACGCGGTGCTGTGGCTGACAGTTTCTTTATATATAAAAATAATTTGCAATATAATAATATCAATTGAGTTTCTTGCCAGTTCTTCTCAATTGGATCTATATACCGAACTGGACGGTAGGAAAAAAATATAATGTAAAAACTTTGCCGTTCATAAGCGGCTAAAATGTCGTACATGAATAAATGATTTTTTAATTTGAATTGCAACTATGAATTGAGATGTAAGCTATCCTATCTCTCAAGTTGGATCAAATAGCACACAATCTGCAAATCAAATTTGCAATAGTTTCAGTAACTTAGTAATCTATTGCGGACAAACAACGTGACACGTAATTTGTATATATGACAACTATATTCTCCAACCTGAACAGTACTCTGTTGGAACAGCGCAACCAGTGGACTCATCCGGGGTATGTCTATGTGTATTTGTCTGTATGTGTCATCATCTCTCTCCGCGTCGTAGTACTGTCGCACTAAGTGTTTGTAGTCCGCACGCTTCCGCTCTAAAGTCTCTACGCGCCGTTCTGAGTTGGCGGGCAGGTATCCGGCAAGCAGACGCCATGTTATAGCTCGAGCCTGTAACAGTCAGTTTAAATAATAAGATATTTTATATAAATATTTCATAATGAGAGATTTCATAGGCATGGCAATAGTTGTTCAAGCACGGGATTTTCATTTAATGTTAGACATAGACACCTATATAAATATACATTGTAAATCCACTGGCTTTAAGAATATAATTAATTCAAGTGAGTTTCTTGCAAGTTCTTCTCAATTGGATCTATATACTGAACTGGATGGTAAAAAAATTTACATTCATAAGCAGCGAAAATGTCCTACATGAATAAATGATTTTTTAATTTGAATTGGAATTTCATACAATGGTGGAGATGGGATGAAGCTAGTAAATTTTAAGTTTTTTTTTTGGGTTGTTAATAGAATGGTGTCATCACCTGCGCTAACAGTATACTCTGGTGGGGCACTGGATGAGCCTGAGGTTAGGTCAGTTAGCCTTGTGGCAAATTGACCAGGAAATGCACCATATCATTACCATCAAATTATTATATTATATTTGGATCATAGGCATAATCTGTTTAGTAATACTATTTGTGAAGATTTGTAATGAGAACAGGACAATTCAATATGATTAGTAACATGTAAACTTCACTATTAATCACTTTAAAATAAATAAATAAATATTACATTTGCATTCAGCAGAACCCTCCTATACTTGTTAGGTGCAATACAGGAGATTAACATATTAAAGACCACATTATCACTGGTGGGTCCCTCCGCAATGAAAGTAAATTTACACATTGGGACCGGGATCACCCGCTGGCCTTTAATTGAAATAAATCTAGGGGTTAAATAATGTCTACCTCAAATTATTGTACACTAAAAACATATATGTAATTAACAATAAAAAAAATGCCAGTCCTGATGTTAGAAATAAGATTCTTCAATTCAATGTCTTCAACATGTTAAATAATTCAGTAGGTCAACAAATTTGTAAAATAAAAAACTCATAGCACTATAAATGAATAACTGTTTTAAACCTACATACAGTCTAAACCAGTGTTTCCAACATGGAACCCACACACCCCACAGAGGGGCAATTCGAAAATAGACTTTTTATTAAAATTATATAGAATGTGAATTTAAATATTTCATTATATGTTTACTTACTGTTTCATTAACAATTTCCTAGTGATTTCTTATTAAAATCTATTATTTAAGTTTCTTAAGCGAATGATTCAATTTTTAACATTATAAATTATATAAAGAAATTTAACAGGTATTGCGAAAAATGCATGAAAGTATGCTGTGAAGGTAGTATAGTACAGTAGAATGCCTTCTGTACACATTATGCCTATTTTAATATAAAAAGAATGTTGCTAAGTTTATTGGAAATTATGAGCCGCAACTTTCTATACCTGGTTGAAGATGCAGTGGCAGAGCAAGGATGAGGTGCTACCACATTGGTAGTAAGGGATGTAGTAGAGTTTGCGGTTCACTTTTTACCCTGTTCTGAACTGGGTAAAATGTGAACCGGGAATATCAAAGATGACTATACCATCATGTGGTATATATAGCTTAGAACAGAGAGAATTGAAAGGATTGATTAAAAGATGAAAAATTTAAAAAGATTCAAACACCCACTAGGCAGAATTTTTTATTTTTCAGTAATTCATGGGACACACCTTCTCAGTAGAGATGGGGACTACTGGAGGGTACTGATCTAGGGTAATGTCAATTTGAAGTTGCAATTGAATAATATAGCACAATAATATAGAGGCAGAAATGTTCTATGAATGACCTCACTTATATAGGTCTAGATGGCAGAATTCTCAATAATCCACTTTTTTTTTTATAACACTATTGCAAGTACATATATTATTAGTTTTCTTCAAGATAATTATTATTACTCACTTTAACTGGAATTCCTGACCAACTGAGTTGCTTCAACTCATTCAGGTCAACAACAGTGCTTTCATGAATTTGCTGGAATCTCTCCAATTTTGATTCACTGCTCTCCTCCTTTGAAAGCAAAGCAGACGGTCTCACCGCCCGCGGACGCCCTGGATAATGGCGCATGGGCCCCGAGGACCCTCCTGGACCACCAGACTTCCTGACTTCATTCTTCCTAACTTCTACACGGGGCGTCACATTTTCAGTCTCTTGCAAATCACTTAACTTTTTACTACTATTTCTATGGGAATTAATCACATTCAACGCCGCGGTTTGTGATATAGCTTTTGAAATTTTCGTTTCGGCTATTCCAGACACGATGTCGTCGTCGCCCAAGTCCCAGGCATCGTTCACAGAAGCCTGGAACTGTTGATATGAAGACCCAGACATAACCTCGGTCTGACCAACCCTTTGCAGAGGTCTACCCGGGTACGCACGATGTGGTGTCCTCCAGAAGGTCTCAGGCAGTAAACCGTTCTTGTCATATTCGGGTTGATAACTTTCCATAATAAAATATATACAAGAACATTATAAATAACTTTGTTGAACAACAATATATGAAAAATGTTGATATGACATTACATTACTAACTAACCAGAGACAAATAATTGCTTTTTATTGCCTGCCATATGATGAAACGGATTGATTTGTTTACTTAGTAAAAGATGAAAATTTTAAATTGAAATAATACTTTAAACGTATTTGGTATTTATTATAATGATATTATAAATTATTATGAAGTGTTAGAATCGATATCCCTTTATAGTAATTAATATAAAGTGATTTTCAAATTGTAATCAGATGTTTAGATTATTCTACAATGGCAATACAATCTAATCATAAACAATTAGCTACGTTTCAAGAATTTCATGAGTAGGTTTTCTTTGTACGGCAATAAAATAAAATAATTTAATAATACATAATACCTTACCTTTTTTTCTGCAATATTATTTTTTTATGAACTTCAGTGCATTATTTTATATGAGTTTGGCATATATCAAAAGAATCAGACATTAATGCCATTAGATTACACTTTTAGTATTTATTATTATTTCTTTTGTATTAACATATCAGTTTTACACCACCGCCACCAATAGTAAAAATATTTTTCATCTATTTTGAAACTGAGATACATTGTAATATTTTAACATAACATATTTAAAATGTTTTTATCGATGGACTATTATTACAACATTATGTGCCTGGTTTCTAGGTGCTTTATTTGATCAATATCCTAATCAGTATTTGTAGAATACTTAAAAATGGCGAGCCCTAATTCAGAAACAGAGTCAACTTCTATGTTTATGCAAAGAAGCGATGGTAAGAAAACAATAAGTCCACCGCGTTCCGAATCATCATCTAGAAGAAACTCCTCTGTCAATGTAGCACCAGCGGAAATTATCACAGTAAAAGACTTCTTTGATTTCATGAAGACAGCCTATCAGGTTTACGAGCACTTGGAAGGTGACGAGGAGGAGGGATCAAAAATTAATTGGGAGGAATTGACAAAGTTAACTGTTATCAATCACGTTATTGAGCAGCAAGAGAGAGATCTTCTTTATCAAACTGCTTTTGCAGAACCGAAGCCAATTGTTAGTAAAAGTGATACGGCAATTGTGAAGAAAAGTAGCATTGAGCGCACTGAAAAACGGTTCAGTTGTAGTGAACTGGAAGGCGAGTAACATTAATTGTATATTGACTTGTGACCATAAGAATGATAAAATACTTATTTCATATTATGACGTAACCTTTACTTTATTAAATGGAGGTAGGTCCAAACTTACATGTCAGTTAATTTCATTAAACTTTTAGGAAAAGTTCGAAGGCGTTCATTGCCACCTGAATCAAGAGTTGAGATGCTCGGAGTATGGACAGAAGCTAATCTCAATTGTAAATTAAATGATGTAAGTAAAAATATTAATAAAAGCAAAATATCATCGAAGTCTTTCAAGTAATACTTAACCTATTTATTCCTATTGTAGGTTATAAATGAAGGAATATTGGACTCTATTTTACCTTACTTACTTGGGTATAAAAAACCATCGAAGACAACTAGTGTTTACACTCCCATTATTAAGAAGGTCACATCGAGCTCAACAACTGAGATAAAAAAGCCAGCTAGTTTTGGAGGTAAACAATAGAAAAAAAAATATATAATTTACTCTCCCAGGAAACCCTCTGTTTTCCATTATCAATTTTATTTTACGTTTTAAATTATTTAATGGAATATGTTCAATGAAAACCTACTGATTATTCAATTTATAGGTTTCGTAAATGAAAAAGAATCTAGAGACCGACTTGGAAGACGGAAATCGTCAGTTGTAGCTGCTCAAGAGCGAAGTAATCAGAAACAAGAGTAAATATAAATAAAATTATTTTTATTATTCTATTTTATATATTTCTATTATATGTTCCATATATTCAATAATTTCAATAAACTTGTCATCATCCGATATGGTCTAGTGGCTAGGATACCTGGCTCTCACCCAGGAGGCTCGGGTTCGATTCCCGGTATCGGAATTTCTTTTTGTGTCATATTTTTATTCTGTTTATAATTTTATAGGCAACGACCAATTATTTAACGCATTTAAATAATATAGTTAACAAAAAAAATTATATTATGAATATTTAAACTAAGATTTATAAGTATATAATATACATTCTACTGTCTAACTGTAAGTGGCACATACATTACAAAGTAATTTTTAACTTCACCGCTGATTTTATATGAAAAAATATTTACCTTCACGACTGTAATCTCAATCAGGGTAATCAGAGTTAGTTTTTAAAGAATCAGCAACGCGCATATGACTTCCCTGGTGCTTCAGGCGCCCATAGATTATTGTAATCATTTACCATTAAATGAGCCATTCGCCTTTGAGGTACAAAAAAAATTGAGAATTTCCGATCTTTATGTTAAAAGACCTCATATAATTAATTATTGGCATTAGAACAATATCAATGCAATGAGTATAAGGTTAAAAAAACAACTGAGTATAGCATGAGACAAACAACTATAAATAAGTATATTGAACCGGTTGTATGTAACTATTATGGTGAAAGAACAATGTGGTACATAACACCACGAATATTTAATAAATTTTTTAACGAAAACGATTGTTCAAGTAGAGAAATATTTAATTTTAAACTAAAAAGAAGGTTACTCGAAGAAATGCAGTAGTATAAATTGTATATTATAGTTTAATTTTAAATTAAGTATAAGTAAAAATGAGTGTACATATTCGCCAACAAACTGCCAAGCAATCTGATAAATAAATAAATAAAAAAAAACATAAAAATACCTAAATAATATAAAAAAATAATAATATAATAAATTCACACAGCGCCATCTAGTCCCAAGCAAAGCAGAGCTTGTATCATGGGTACTAGATGACTGATATGAATAAATAGATACATTTTTTTAAATAGAATAGAATAGAATAGAAAATCATTTATTCAAATAAACTTACATTGAAGCACTTTTGAATAGTCATTACATTTTTTTTAATCTACCGCTTATAATATAATAATATAAATATCTACATAATATACATAGAAAACACCTAGACCGATAAAATCGAAATCATACAAATGTGGTGGATACACCACTGGTGCCCTGCCACCGTAAACTATTAGCGAAAGCGAGTGCATTAGTTCATTATCATACATATATATATATCATATTATCATAAATAAAAAAAATAGTATAGAAATATTACATTACAAAACAGTGGCGACGTGGAAATTCACGTATGTGACGAGGTGAAGGGCCTCAAGAAGGACTTCAGATGCCCTCAGAAACTGCTCGTCTCCAAGATGGGGTACTTTGCTGACGTCACGGCTGGACAGAGGCTCGAGGATATGGACATATCCGTACACTGCGACATTCAGGTACTAGGATTTTTTATATGTAACTGAAATAGGAGTTTAAATTACCTTGATGGTAAGTGGTAAACGTCGCCTATATATATGAATAGAATTCTTTTCTATAAAATTGGATGGACTAGCAAATCTGACGGTCCATCTGTTTGTCAACAGTAACCGTCCTTGGTAGATCTGTGATGCGCTATCAGAACCCTCGATTGTGCCCGGTCGGTTCGCTGGGAAGGACGGCTTTTTTCGTTCGATCGCTTAAAAATTAATTATGAACAAAAACGATTAAGACGTACGATCAATAAACGTGATCTGACAAAGTCACAATTTGTCACATAATGTTATACATCCCTGTGTAAAAAGTGTTTGGTTCGTTCCAATCTGTTAAAGAAGTCAGAAATGTGACGTCATCACAATTTACACCACCTCCCGCACAATGTCACACTTTGTCACACGATGTCACACTTTGTCACATATCGTCGACTACCTGTCTGAATATTTATTACTAACTAGCTGTATAAATTCCTTGTTATCAGATCTTCGATTGGCTGATGCGTTGGGTTAAACGCGACAGCATCCTGGTAGCTGAGTGGCCACTGCTCGACCCTCACAACGTTGTGCCCATACTGGTCTCCGCTTCTTTTCTGCAGGTAACACCCGCGTCAGCACCGATCAGCACTATTCGCGGTGGCAATTTTTTTATGGATGATAATATAACGATGCACCCGTCTGAATGTGTGCACATGTGTGAATTGTCCTGAAATTATTATTATTATTAAACTACGTTATCCATTTTATTTTCATCCCTTATAATTATAACTTTGGCACACAGATGGAGCCACTCCTCCACGACTGTCTCATCTACTGCCACGCCCATCTGAATGATATTGTGAAGACGTCTACCAACCTCGCCTGCCTCAGTGATGCACTCCTCACCAGGTACCTTTTACCCATATGAAGAGGTATTAACGAGCTCGGTGGTTTAGCGGTTTCGCACACCGCCTTACTTTCGATGGTCGCGAGTTCGTTGTCTTGTACGATAAAAACATTTGTAATCATTAGAGACCGTTTTGTCTCGATTAAATTGTAAAGTTGACATAAGTATGATTAAGTAATAATATTTTATTAAATAGTAATAATAATGAAATAATTAATAAATATATTTTGTAGTATCTGCTGTATTTTGGTATATAGGCGACGGTATATAGCTTGGTATATCTGTTTTGGTATACAGCTTTCCATCTGGTCAGAGGCGGATCTACCTACGAGCTTTATGGGCTGCAGCCCAAAGTACCGGAGATACAAAGAGCCCCCAGCTCTCACTGAAAATAATAGGCGATATTTAGATTAAAAAATCTATTACGGTTATTATCTCTAAGGTTGACAACCTTATGGTAGAGTTTTTAATATTAAAATATTTTTTGATATTAAGCTTAAAAAATCTATTAATATTAAAAAACCTACCATAAGGTTGTCAACCTTATGGCAGGTTTTTTAACCAGAGATTAATCAAGGTGGGCCGTCAGCTTGTCAATCCAATAAACAATATAATCCAATATCCATAGACATTATTATAATTTTATTTTACATATATGTTAGTTCTTATGATATATATAATATGGGCCAATATTGTTATATAAATAACTAGCAAATGTTGTTTTGCCATATAAATTAATAACGCTATAAAAAAATAGGGATTGGTGATAGAAGGGTGAAAATTTAGAGTTGTATGTATTTTTTAATGACACATAATAAAAAAATTGTCAAAAAATGAAAAAAAATATGAGGGTGAGGCACCCTTAATACTTAGAGGTATAAAAAATAGTTATAGACCTACTGATTATACCTATAAAATTTCATCAAAATTGGTCGACGGCACGGGACGAGAATTTATATATTAGACTAGCTACTCGCCCCAGCATCGCACGGGTGTACATGTACCTTATGTAATTTACTATGAATCACTCTATCTATTAAAAAAAAAACCGCTTCAAAATCCGTTGTGTAGTTTTAAAGATTCAAGCATACATAGGCACAGCGACAACGACTTTGGTTATATATACTATGTAGTGATGATATTAAGTTGAAGTCTGAAGCAAACAAATAAAACGTAATATAAATTCTCATCTAGATTAGCAGCAATGTACACAAACGCGGAATTAGAAGCAATAAGAGACCGTAAGGATAAAATCCAGTCGCGTCTCTACTGCAAGATGATAATGTCCCTCGCTGAACCGGTCCCTGAAACCCTCCGTGGGCACTACGCCACGCTCGCCACGCTGTTCAAGTGTGTCAAGTAAGTTCCAATAAGTTACACTGTAAACAATCATTGCTGTTCATGTGTGTCAAGTAAGTTCCAATAAGTTACACTGTAAACAATCATTGCTGTTCATGTGTGTCAAGTAAGTTCAAATATGTTACACTGTAAACAATCATTGCTGTTCAAGTGTGTCAAGTAAGTTCCAATAAGTTACACTGTAAACAATCATTGCTGTTCATGTGTGTCAAGTAAGTTAAAATAATTTACATTGTAAATATAATTGCTGTTCACGTGTGTCAAGTAAGTTCAAATAAGTTATACTATAAACAACCATTCCTGTTCACATTTGTCGAGTAAGTTCAAAGAACTTACATTGTAAATAATCATTGCCGTTCATGTGTATCGAGTAAGTTCAAATATGTTACACTGTAAACAATCATTGCTGTTCATGTGTGTCAAGTAAGTTCAAATAACTTACACTGTAAATAAATAATATTTAATAATTAAGTAATTAATGGATTAAAGAATTTTAATAAAAAAATTATTGACAATTAAACTATAACTCGTGTCCTAACTTCGAATTACGCTGAATGATTGTGAAGTTCAAATCTGGCCGACACGTAATATACAAGTGTTTCGTTCTTTAGAAACAATGAAATTTTAAATTTCACAAACCAACAAAGAAGTCTGTATGTATATATAAAACATTAGGGCAGTAGATAAAAATAGAAATAGAAATAATCTTTATTTAAATAAACTCATAACAATCACTTTTGAATAGTCATATTTTGATTCTACCACTCATTCGGAATGCACATTCATCACAAGAAGAATGAGCAAGAAACTTGTGTGTTGCTCTTTTTAATAGATGTTATATAATAATCAAGGGGATAGAGATTGTTAGTAATGTCGACTGATGACCCCATAGCTAGCAATGTACAATATCAGCTTGACTTTACGCGGATCCTTCTAGAAACCGTGATAAATTCATAGTACATTTTCCCTGATGGACTTACTGATCTTACCTCATACACATCCTATCGTCCTCCACTGGTGCCCCGCCAGTGTATAACATTAGCGCAGACATGTGCACTATACCATTATCATTCAGTAAAACCAATTTTTGTGATGTCTACGTCAGATGCAACAAACTGCTGGGGCGGTATATAGCCGAGCAAGTGCCATGCCAGCCGGCTAGCATGAGGGTCGACCGACGGGGGAATGTCATCTCCTCGCACAACAAGTATTTATTTATTTGCATTATTTTATTTATTTATCAGATAATATAATATAATAATAATAATAATAAGTATATACCAAAAAGTCTGAACAAACACCTAGACACGTTGCATATCCCCTCATCTACAATAGACTTATTACAAAAAGCCGTCATACTAAACACATGCCGAATAGTCAGAAAATTTCTATCTTCATCACATAACTCATCCATGCTTGGCTAAGGCCCGCGTGTTTGAATATATTACCCCCGTAAAAAGGGAGATAAAATATATATAAAAAAAAGAGACGTATGGGATGAACAGGGATCAAAGCTGGAGCCTCAATGAGTACATCACGTGGCTGTACGGGGAGCTGCGCTCGTGGCGCCGCGTCTACTGGAGGCTGTGGGCAGATTGTCACTTCCTCAGGTGTCAACTGTGTGACAGTTACTTTCCCGCTTATCAGGTATGATTTGAACTTTTTTGAAAGAAAGAAATATATTGAAGTGATACTTCTATGTAGACGTTATTGGGGTTATTAAAATTACTATTAAAAAATAGGGATTGGTGATAGAAGGATGAAAATTTTGGGTTGTATGTATTTTTCAATACCACATAAAAAAATTGTCTAAAAAATAAAGAATGTTAAGGGCGGACCCTTATCACTTAGGGGTATGAAAAATAAATAGTAGCCGATTCTTAGACCTGATATGTGTATAAAATATAAAAATTGATCAATCCGTTTCGGAGGCGTATGGTAACTAACATTGTGACACGAGAATTTTATATATAAGATAGTATTAATATGTATATTAAATGACAAAAAAGGAATGTGTGTTGAGACACAGTAGAAGTACAACTCAGCGACCAGTTTCTTTCTCTCAGAATATGATAGTAGACTCCACACTCTGCCGATGTCCTCTCTGACGCCTTTTTTGACTAAATAATCCTAAGAGATTGTATTCACACACTTCAACTTAAAAATGTAAAGTAACAATAAAATTATTTAAAAGAGCAACACGCAAGTTGCTTACTCGTTCTTGTGATAAGACAGCATTCCGAACGAGCGGTAGATTAAAAAAATGTGATAACTATTCAAAAGTGCTTCAATGTAAGTTTATGTGAATAAATGATTTTCTATTCTATTCTATTCTAATTTAGACACCTTCTGTATAGAAGATTTACTTCAATAAATTTGGTCAATTCAGTCCATAGCTATAGCCTGTATTTCGAGATTTTTGTGAAATGAACTGCTTTTCTTGGTCACCATTCAGATGGAGTGGTGTTCCCACCATGAGCAGAGCGCGCACATGTTCGCGGTGGATGGCCGGCCCCCCCTGCCCGCCGGCCGGTACCCCTGTTGCGGCGAAAGAGCCTACCGGTTCGAAACCATCACCAGGAACACGGTATTTTTTTTATTGGGTTGTTTGGGCTATTGTCAGGTGCTCGCACCTAACACTGCGACTCTCGACTCTGAAAAAGGGCGAGCACAACAGATCTACATAGATCTGTTGTGCTCGCCCTTTTTCAGAGTCCGCTACCTACACCCGCCACACGGAACACAGTAATCTATTGTATCATTTAGACGGCCTCAGTGATCTAGTGGTTTAGTCCGCCGCCTCAATTCCGATGGTCGCGGGTTCGATTCCTCGCACAGCATAAACACTTGTATTCATAAGTGTGATTGTTTGTATTTGAGTTAGAGCTTCCACAGACACTTAGAAAGGTCATGAGTTCGAATCTAGATAATAAAACCTTGGGTGTCAATTCATAGTGCTGGCTGAGTTCCAGTGATACCTATATCATTGTAAATTTACCAATAAATCATCGCACATCATTGATTCTTTTTGTAAAATATCTAATATATAAAATTTTCATATCACAGTGTTAGATGCTATAACGGCTTAACCAATTTTGATAAAATTTTATATATTCTACTTGGTACAAATTAAGTATTTGTCATTCTGATATATAAGCTGTTTCATTAAAATCTATCGCGAACTTTCGCGTTTATGACATTAGTAATATTGTAAAATTTATATTGTATTCATCGACTGTTAGTTGCCACCAGGTGTTCTTGTTTTCCATTCCAAATAAATAAAACTGACTCCTCAGGGTTGCCAGTTCCGCGAGCACGCGCCTGATGAGCGCCTGGCGACTGACGCGGCCGTGATGGAGGTGTACAACAAGTTCCGCGACATCATCGCCATGAGACCTCCGCAGCTGATGTTCCCGGAGCGTCTCACCAGGCTCGTACCCAGAGGTGACTATTCTGAGTATATTCGATACTAGCTGTGCCCGCGGTTCACCTGCTTAAAATTGCCTACTAGCAACCTCCCCGGCTTCGCACGGGCCCAATATTCCATCCATAAAAAAGGTTATAGTGAGTTAACCTCAAAAAAAGATCGTGACAATGTACGTCTGTCCTTTAACACATATACATATAGCAGGGATATTGCGGATGGAATTTTTTTCACATCCGCGGATGCGAATGCGGATTTTTTTGCGTTCAGATCTGCAGATGCGGATTTAGATTTTATTTACAAAAAGTTATATGGGTGCAGAAATAAAGTAACATGAATTAAATTTTCGAATCGGTTATTGCGGATGCGTAAGTGGTCGCGGATGTCTAAATTGATGCGGAAGTTCTACATTTGCGGATGCAGATGCGAATATTCGTGACCTCCCTGATATGTAGTAGCGGTTTTTTAGAACTTTTAAAGGAGAATAATTAATTCCGTTAAATATATTTTATTTTTGCATAGCTTTAACAAACGCACGCAGCGGAATCACCCAAACTGAACATTTATTGCTTCATTTTTCATTGTACAATGCTAGCGATCGAGTAGTTAGTTTATTGCCATCCTTTTCCCCCAAAGAACTGGGCGACGACAGCACCGGCCGTCTACAATGCAAGGAGGTGTTCTGGTGGCAGGGCATCCAACTGGTGCCTCCGCGGCAACACCTCGGTCTGCTCGGCAAGTTGTACACCAGCAACATCAAGTTCAACCGTGAGATACTTGTGTCTATTCACAAAGTGATGATTAACTTGTGGGATGACGTGTTAAAATACAAAATGCTTCTCTGATTTAAAAAAAATCTTATGATGGTGCTTAATATTAGATTCACGGTAGATAGCCAAAAATAGCTATTAATATAGTATCACCCTAAGTTCAAGTTCCTTTATTATTTATTTATTTCATATTGTTTCGTACGGTTTTGTTTTTTGTTTAATAATAATTTCTTTTCCGACAACATGATCCATTTTGTTTGCAACAACTTAATAACATAACTTATCCTATCTTAGTAATATAATAATAGAAACAAAATAAAAATGTAACCTTTAACATATTACCTGTCCCACCCAGTGTCTTAGAATGGGACAGTTTATTTTACAAGCAATTGCCTTCAGGACACTGTTGGAACTCTCACTCTGCGGGACTCTCCTAATAGGAACATTATTCGCTTCCGCCGTATGGCATATCCGTCGGTGCGCTCTTGCGCAAACATATGTGCGCTGCAGTGATGGGGCAGTAGTAAATAGTCGAGGATATAGTTGAAAATCGGTGTTTTGCTCCGTGAGTGATTCTCCACACTGAGCTATAAATCAATGAAGTAAACCATCATTTTATGAACATTAAAAGTATAATTAAAATTATTTCAAATTAACACGTCATCCTATCATGTAATGCGCAATTCACGTTAAAATATAGATATTGTAAATAGTTGTTATAGAAATAACAATACAGAGATAACAAATTATACAATCTGTTCATGTATCTAGATGGGTTCGTTCAATATTAGTTAACTTATAATAGAATAGAGCAGAATAGAGCAATTTGACGCTTTACCAAAGGAATGTATCATTTATGGCACAAAAAATTTTTAATAAATTACCACCAGTCTTGAGAAAAATGCCCTTAAATAAATTAAAAAATCGATTATATTACTGGTTGACAAGTGTTTTTATGACATCAAAGAATATTTATGTGATGATTGTTGACTTTTTTTTTTTATTACTATATAATTAGAATGGTACATAAGACATTAATTTTTATAATATTATAGATTATAATATTAGTGCTTGTAATGAGTTTATTTGAATAAAGATTATTTCTATTTCTATTTCTATTTCTATTCCATTTTAATATACCCAAAATTTGCATGCCGTAAAATGGGGCAATTAAACAGTTGCTAATAATATTATTACCTGGACATATTATAATATCTAACTGTATAATACGCAAATAAATAAATTTCATTTCATTTCATTTCATAGAAAATCATTTATACAAATAAACATACATTGAACCACTTTTGAATAGTCATAACATTTTATTTTCAATCTACCGCTCATTCGGAAAGCTAATCATAAGAAGAATGAGCAAGAAACTTGCGTGTTGCTCTTTTAAATAATTTTGTTGATACTTTACATTTTTAAGTCGAAGTGTGTGAATATAAATTACCAACTAGACTAATTCAAATAGTTATGGTTAAATATCGGAAGTTAACTAGTTTCCATAGCATAGGGACAACTGAGGTTCAGTGTTTAATACTGTCAGTCTTACGCTAGGTTAAGTTGAAGAAGTTAAAGAAATTGAGTTGAGTAGGCTATGGGACGACCAGCCATTGAAATGCTGAGAGTTTAACTTCCTTACGTGAACATCACTGTGGTCCAAAGCAAACTATCTAACTCCAATAATTGGAGGCTTGCACATGTTGAAGGCATCGGAGAAAGGGAACCAATATAATAAGGCTAACCAATATAATAGGGCTAACCAATATAATAGGGCTAACCAATATAATAGGGCTAACCAATATAATAGAGCTAACCAATATAATAGGGCTAACCAATATAATAGGGCTAACCAATATAATAGGGCTAACCAATATAATAGAGTTAACCAATATAATAGGGCTAACCAATATAATAGGCCTAATCAATATAATAGGGCTAACTAATATAATAGGGCTAACCAATATAATAGGGCTAACCAATATAATAGGGCTAACCAATATAATAGAGCTAACTAATATAATAAGGCTAACCAAAATAATAAGGCTAAACTTATTATATTGGTTCCCTACCTCCGATGCCTCTTCCTCCAATATTATCACATGCTATTTCTAAATATAGGACGTGATGATGATGGTAAAACTTTGAGGATTCCCTTTCATCACTGATGAGAGTAGGGAAATATTATCAGTATGTCAGTGCAGCGCATAGAGAAGAAATACTTTATACACTGCACTCTTTTTATTTAATTTCTTTTTTGATGTGGAAAGTGGTAATTTTAAGGACGAAACCGAAATCTAGAGGGTTTTAATTACATTTTTAACAGATTGTATATTTTGCTTCGTAGCAAGTCAATGTAGCAGCCAGGTGTATATACTGCTTGCGAATGGTGCGTAATGACTTGGTAACTTGCCATTGGCTGACACAAACGACAAAATTATTGTATATACACTGAGTTTCCAAACACTACTCATCTAGCAAAGCAAACGTTAGTCAAAGATCTCCCTGAAGATGATCCTGGCACGAAGGACCAAATATTTTGGGTCCTTCGAGTTCCAATTGGCTTTCAACATTTTTAGTTACTTCGTGGCTGCTATAATTCTAAATTTAAATACTGCCATCGAGGAATCGAGTTTCGGTCAGTAATATCTGATGTACGGGTATTTTTTTTAAATATGAACATTATGTAACGGACCAAAGTTGAAGTAGTATCAATATGGTCGTAAATGGCGCATACGCAGCAAGTGCGCGCCCCGGCTCCCCGACGCTGGCCGGTACAAGGGTCTCCGCTCAGTCTCTCGCCGGGACCTGCACCGCAGGACCCTGTCAGTCACCAGAGTGTGACACTAAACTGAAGCCCCAACTGCAAGAAACCAGAGCAGAACCGTTGAGAGTAAAGGTAAGCACGGGAATCCGGCCCGATGGACCAAACCCACTACAGACGGTATCGGGAAATCCTTTAAGAATTTATAATGTGTAGTTATACCTTTATTTTTTTATAATGCATGCATATCGTTTTAGCTATATCAAATCAAATATCTTTATTCATGTAGGTCTATTACAGACTCTTATGATAAGTTAAATCTACCGTCAGCTCGGAGTACTTTCTAGATAAGAACTGACAAGAAATGTATTTGTACATGTAACAATAATTTTGATTCATTGATAGATTCATTTTTAAATTCAATTAGGTAGAATACAGTGACCACCAGCATATGCTCTTACATTTTTATCAAAAGGAAATCCGTAACCCGAACAGAACAGTCCCCACAAACAGCACTCGTTCACGAGTATGACGAATTATTATTATTACTGTTTCGCACAGTGTTCACTGCAGGTTAAAAAACTATCAGCGTATACACCCGAGATGCCTAATTGTAAATATATTCTGTCAGATTATCTAAAATTAAGGAAAGTAAGTATTTATAGATTATAAACATTAGGTATTAAGCTTCACATATTATCTTCGTTATTTCCCACTTGTAAATAAAAGTTAAGTATGTTTTATTTATTGGGATTACGTCATAATAAGTAATTAAATAAATAAAACTTTTAATGCACGATGTACATAACGCATATTTTGTTAGATTTCGGCCCTTGCTTCAATATTCTGTATGTTAAATATGTTTTATTTACTGAAATTACTTCATAGTAAGTAAGCTTATTTAAGTATATATATATTTCGAAACTAATTGTCTGTCTATTTTGTTGATTGTATATTTAAGTAGCCGTAAAAGTTAGAATATTAGAGTTTTCACTATTTAAACAGTTTTATTTTCATATTATTATATCAACATTGCATGAATCGATTATTGTTATCATTAAACTACTATGTAGTTTATTGCAAGATTATTCTTATTCAGTTTATATTGTATTATTTATTTTGAGTTAATATTTTTAATAATTCGGTGTACTAGTGATTATTTATTATTATTATTAATACAATTTCTAAAATTAAAGTAGCCTAAGTTAATCCTTATAATATTAGCTATCTGCGACTGAAAGCCCTTTCAAAATCCCTCCAACCGTTTCAGAGAATAACAATAGAACAAACAGATAGACAGACAGAATTGATAGAATCAATTTTTTCATTTTTTTATGTAAGTAACGTATTATATATGTTCATATACATTTAGTGAAAAGCTATTGAATCGATATTACAAACCGACACTTCAAATTTTATTTATATGTATATATTTTTCTATCATCATCTCAGCCCGGAAGACGTCCACTGCTGAACAAAGGCCTCCCCCCAAAGATCTCCACGACGATCGGTCCTACGCTGCTCGCATCCAATGCCTTCCAGCAATCTTGACCAGATCGTCTGTCCACCTTGTCCACCTGTCTATATTTCTATAGATATATTTATCTATTAATATAATTGTGATATACAAAGAAAGGCATCCAAGTCAGTGGGATGATGCCGGCCGGGGGCGATGTAGCTGCTGATGATGGAGCCGAGGATACCAGCTCGGATGAGAGTGAACAAAGCTCGGCGAGTGCCAGGAGCGAGGAGGACGTGCCGCCCAAGAGGTCACCACGGCTGCCCCGGCCGCGCTCCAATCCGCCCAACAAGTGAGTATGAGGTTTTTTTTATGGATGATAATGGAATGGTACACCCGCCTGCGCTGAACGGTTTATGTTGGTGGGGCATCAGTGGAGGATGATAAGATAAGCATGAGGTCAGGTCAGTTAGCCCATCGTGACAAATTCACCAGGAATTTATCGCGATGGTTTCCAGGGGAACCGCATGAAGGTCAACCATTACAAGGCTAGCAATAAGATCATCAGTCCACGTTACTAACAATCTCCTTTCCCCCCAATATGAGGTTATTATACAGGCCATCACGGTCTAGCCATTTAACACACCTCCTAACTTCAGATTAATCGCAGGTTCGATAACAAAATTCATCTTATTAATATTATAAATGCCAAAGTTTGTGAGTATGTATGGATATTTCTACTCTTTTATGGAGAAACTACTGAACCGATCATCATGAAATTTTGTACACATGTTCTTGGAGGTATTCAAATAAACATAGTATACTTTTTATTAAAAAAAACAATTATTTTTTAGAAAAAAATTTAATATCAAAATTTTACTACTTCAGCGCTATCTAGCAGCCAATAATGAAGTTTAGAAAGCCGAGAGAAGCCGCGGGCAAAAGCTAGTAGGCTATAAATTTCACGCGGATGAAACGTTTCACAGTATGAAATAATAATATAAATATAAATCGTCTCTGTTGTCACGGTACTGAGGACAGCGCCCTTCGGCTAGTAGTCCTACTTCATGAAGGTAGTCAGTGGTGGTCATATGTTATAGTGCTCTGGTTTTGTATACCCTTTTGCGACAAATCCTGTGATCGATCCCCCATCCAATTCAAACGGAGATTCAATTACTACGGGCTGAGTCGAGGTTCGAACCCCTAGCGGTGCTCTCAGAATAAAATCGTATCCATCAGGCGGGAGTCCTTCAGCCGCTCCGTAAGTCCTTCCGCGGGTTTGGAGTGCCATCTGCACTCGCCCCCTATCGGTGAAAAAGTCCTGTGTAAATATACATATATAAGTATATGTATAGATTCTATATAATTATTGTACGGTAGACGAGTCCGCGTGGTGGGCCGTCAGTGGGTAGCTTCGCTATCAGCTCGCAGCAACCAGGACGGACAGCGGCGCTTCGAAGAGCGCGCCGCACGACTCATGAAGGCTGCGCTCGCAAGACGTGCCGCCATCACACCAGCCAAACCCAAGACACCGGCCGGTAACCACGACTTCAAATTTATTTATTTTAAACTTTAACCGTTTGATTGCCATACTTTTTTACTCAAGTATGCCTAAAAATGCCAAGAATAATAATTTATTTTTGATGTCATAATCCCTTTCCTACAAAAAAATCTATATTTCTTCAAAAAATTGTCTAATTACTCCTGGTAATTTTGGGACACACGTGCAGGAGTCCAAGTGCTCCTCGGCACTCTAACGGTTAATTAATTAATTTTATTTATTTGTACTTACAGCTAATTGCCGTTTATATTTTAAAACTATTATATAATACTTTACTATATATACTACTTAAACTATACAACGAATAAAATATTCTTATTTTATTAATTATGGAAGGCAAGGCTTCTGTGTATACGTCAGCATCTTGGACCTTACCTAAAAATAAATTTAATTGCACTTCGACATAATATTAAAATGAAACTGAAATATCATAAGCGCTATAAGAAATTTGGCAATCCTCTTGACTATGATGAATTTGCTAATTACAGAACTAAGAGCAAATATTTAATCGAATCTTGTTATAGAGACTTTGTAGCATCAGTAGAGACATCTTTAAAAGGTGACATGAAGTCCTTTTGGAGATTTGTCAATAGTAAAAAGGGAGTGAACTCGATTCCTGTAACTATGGAATATAACGGTGTCTCATCAAATAATCCATCAGAAGTTTGCGAGCTGTTTTCGAAGTGTTTCAGCTCTGTATTTGTAAACAGTCAATGTAATTCTAACGCCAGTTCACCTACTAGTTCTCACAGCAGTGTCCTAAGCGGCATTAACATCACACATAAAATGATATTAGCCAAAATAAAGAAGTTAGATCCGAATAAAGGTCCTGGTCCTGATGGTATTCCTGCCTTGTTTATTAAGAACTGTGCTAATGAACTGTGTTTGCCTCTTAGTGTATTATTTAATAAATCCATTGAGTATGGTACCTTTCCTACAGTTTGGAAAGTAGCACATGTAATACCCATATATAAATCAGGATGCAAGACTGATTGTGGAAATTACAGACCTATTAGTATATTGTCATGTTTAGCAAAACTTTTTGAAAGTGTAGTGTATGATATTCTGCATAGTCATGTCAAATCTTCTTTGCATCCTCAACAACACGGATTCATTGCCAATAAATCTACCGTCTCTAATCTTATGGAATATAAGAACTATCTTTGCAGGGCTTTTATAAAAAGATCACAGGTGGACTCCATCTATACCGACTTCTCAAAAGCATTCGACAAGGTCAATCACGCTGCGCTTTCTAAAAAACTGGCAGAATTCGGAGTACATGGCTCTCTGCTTCGCTGGTTCGAGTCATACTTGAGTCGTAGGAGTCAGCTGGTTGTAATTAAGGGTCATACCTCTGCTCCCGTCACACTGTTCTCTGGTGTGCCGCAAGGTAGTCATCTAGGCCCGTTATTATTTGTCATCTTCATAAATGACCTAATCGATGTCCTATCCTGTCCTTGTCTACTTTATGCAGATGACCTTAAGATATTTTCTACGGTGGACAATGGTACTGACGCTCAGAAATTGCAATCGGATTTAAATTCACTTTCCGATTGGTGTGATCGTAATTTCATGCAGCTCAATGTGGGTAAATGTTTCGTTATAACTTTTACTAAAAAAACAAATAAACTCGAATTTGACTATATCCTTAGGGATAAAATTCTTGAACGTAATCGTGTCGCAAAAGATCTGGGCGTGCTTTTTGATGACAAACTAACATTTCGAGACCACTATGATAATATTGTTGACCGTAGCTACCGTCTTCTTGGGTTCATTACAAGATCAACTAAAAACTTTCGGCAGAGTAGAAGCTTAATTAGTATCTATAACTCACTCGTACGTAGTATTTTAGAATATAACTCGGCTATCTGGTCTCCCTTCTATAGACTACATAGCAACCGAATTGAAAGTATTCAAAGACGTTATTTAAAGATACTTAGCTATAGATGCGGCTTAGGTCGTAAACTTGCATCTTACAGTGAACGTCTGAAATACTTTAATCTGGACCCTTTATATATAAGACGACAAAATAATGACCTAACCTTGTTACATAAAATTATTCATCATCAGTTGGACTCGTCCACTCTTCTTTCTCTATTAAACTTTAATACGAGATTTAGATCACGCAACCGTAATTATAACACCTTCTATCTTCAGGTTTACTCAAATAATACTTCTTATTATAATCCAATAGTTCGAATGTGTCGCCAATACAATGAAATTCTTGTCTCGAATAGAAATATAGATATTTTCCATTCAACGCTGGTCCAGTTCCGGAGACAATTAAATTTCCACCGTAAAGTGACAAATTATATTTAACATTATACCAATTTTCTTTTCTTTAATATAAATAAAGTTCTGTTAACATGATAATTTATTGCATTGCGTAGTTATAGTTATATATAATTTTCTATTTAGTTTACTTTTTATTATATAACCTTATCTAATTATCTAGCGTATATTGAATGCGTCTATATAATTTAGCTCTTAGGCATACATAGTGTTGGATTACAATCCAGTTCTGTACCGAACTACACGCTCCTATTATATTATTATATTGACTGTAATCTGTTTTGTATGCTAATAAATAAATAAATAATTGCAATGCTCTCATAGTGGGAGAATTATTAGTGTGACTTGTGCATATGCACATATCCGAAAATAAGATGCATATGGCGGACGTATGGCACACCCCTTAGGCATTTTCACCGAGTCCACCACAGGGCGAAGAGAGATCAGTTGGCGGTGTATTTAAGTAAATTACATAAATTAGAAATAATAAAAGTATAAATATCATAATATTAATAATTTAATAAGATATGTATACGCAATTTCGCAAAATAACAGCCAATTCGATAAAATATCCTCTTTCATTAATTAACTCATGAATATTCATTTATTGCCTAGGTGGTGTTTATCCCAAGCTGGAGGCGGAATGGCGGGAACGGCACGGCCAGAGAGCAAGGAATACTGTGTCGGCTCGTCCCCGACAACCGGCCAACAAATTCAAATGAACAGACCAACTGACCTGCTTTTATTATATATATATCTACTATCGTTGGTAGAAAATTGTAGTCACTTTGTTAATAAAAATGTGTAATAAATATATTGAATAGGCTTGGACTATATTTTTGTTTTTTAACCGACTCAAAGAAAGGAAAAGGTTTTCAGTTTATATATTTTTTGTTTTTAACGTTTTGTTACTTCTTAACTCTGTCATTGATATATCAATTTGAAAAAACGTGTTAGAGACTAGTTATAAGTCTAAGGAATTTATTAATTTGATAGACTAAATAACTAAGTTCTGACAATGTACAAGATTGGAGGGAAGAGGATTGTTAGTAATGTGGATTAAAGACCGCGCAGTGCTACTAGCACTGTCAGGTTGACCTCCACGCGTATCGCCCTGGAAACTATCCTGATAAATTCTTGGAGAATTTGTCACGAAGGACTAACTGACCTGACCTCATGCTCATCTTATACTGTCCACTGGTGTCCCGCCAGCATAAACCGTTAGCGCACGCGGGTGCACTATTCCATTATCTATACATATAAATAAAATTGGAGTCTGTAATATTGACAATTGTTTTTTACTACATGCATATGTATATAAATACGGTACATACATCAAAATAACATTTTTTACAATTTTGTTTATCTGTTTGTTCCGACTAATCTCTGAAATAGCTGGACCGATTTTGAAGGGAATATTTTTAGCAGGTAGATGTAATAAGGAGTAACTTAGGCTACTTTTATTTTAGAAAAATAAAGTTAAATTCCACGCTGTGGAAATCGCAGGAACAGCTAGCCAGTACTTAAAAAGACTCGATTTTTTTTATTAATTGTATACATATGGTAAATTATAACACAAATTGGTCAATAGAATTTATTGCCACGTTTTATATAACTTATGCCTAGAAGCGCAGCCGGTGCGGGAATTGGCTGGAGCGGAGCCCGAACGCCGCCCTGAGGTAACCGCGCAGCGTCTTCTTGTCGGCGCGCTTGCCGATCGCTTTGATAACTGCCTCGTCCACCAATTTTTGATCGGTCTTACGCTGTTCTGATGGAACGTATTTCTGAAATATAATTAGAAAATATTAATACTATATCTTCTAGAGGTGAGGTTGGTTTGTTAGTGATATGTACTGATGATGTTATTGCTACTAATGTGCTACGTCAGTTGACCTCCACGCGGTTCCCCATTGAAACCATCGGGATAAATTCTTGGTGAGTTTGTCACGATGGGCTAACTGACCTGACCTCATGCTCATCTTATCATCCTCAACCTGCACTGGGGTAATCCCAGTTGGGGTATGCAAATTAAATAAAAAATACATTAGCTGCCTATGAATGCCAAGTTTTTGTCAAGTGTATTATTTTTCCCTACCGTCCAGTTCAGTATACATATTCGATTGATAAGAACTGTCAAGAAAATCTGAATTTATTTTTTTAGAAGCCAGTTTATTTAGATTGATAAGAACTGTCAAGAAATTCAACAGAATTTTTTTTTAGAAGCCAGGTTTTTTACATTGCTTACTTACATAGGTGTCTATGTCTAACATTAAATGAAAATCTGGTGCATGAACAACTTATGTGCATGTGGATGGTACATAAATAGCAATGGGGTTATTACCCTATTGATATCTATGTACCATGTCATTTTGACCTCCATGCAGTTCCCCCGGAACCCAACATGTTAAATTCCAGCCGAATTTGCCACGAGTTAACTGACCTGCCCTCATACTCATCATCCTCAACTGTTGCCCTGCCAGCGTATACCGTCAGGCGGGTGGACCATTCCATCATCATCCCTTATAATTACCTCCTTCTTTGTAACGAATATGTCCTCTCCCTGTTTGCGCTTAACGCTGCGTTTCACGCTCTTCTTGTTCTTCTTGAAGTAGGCGTCGTCGAGGTGCGCGGGCAGCTTGAAGTCTCCAAGGTCTACACTGGTCGATGTACCGATCACAAACCGTTGGGGAATGCGACGCAGTGGGCACGCGTTGAACTGAAAATATATATTTATTACAATTTTACAGCACCACATCTATTTCTAAATTAAGCAGAGTGTAGTGGCTCACTATGGAGAAATGAAATACAAATAGAAACAATCTTTATTCAAATAAACTTTTGAAGTCACATTTTTTTATTCTACCGCTCATTCGAAACGCAGACTCATCACAAGAAGAATGTGGAAGAAACTTGTGTGTTGCTCTTTTAAATAAATATTGATTTACTTAATCTCTGTTCAATCAGATAACATTGTCAGCTATGAATTTTAAGTTAGATATTTTCTACAAAAACATTATTATCAATTATACATTCTTCAATTTTACGATATGCTTTTTTACAAAGAAAATACGATTCTGACAGTCGCGGGTTCGATTCCTCGCACGCCACAAACATTTATATTCATGAATATAATTATTTGTATCAGTCTGGGTATTTTCTATGTAAAATATGTATGTATTTAAGAAAAAAAAATCTATGTATTTGTATCATTTATCTAGTACACAAGCTTTAGCTAGTTTAACTTGGGTTTCTAGAGAAAACTGGTTGATATAAAATTACAAACACGACGTTACTTACGGCGAATGGTCCAGTGACGAGCAACAATCCGCTGGGCAGGATACCCACGAGCACGACCCGCTTGCCGGCGTGGCGGCCGGCCAGCAGGATCAGCACAGATCCTGGCTTCAGATTCGGTCGGATCCTGCGCACGTGCTTGCTGAACGTCTTGTGGTGGGGACGCTTGCGGAACCTGCAAGCCATAACATACTGAATGACTTCTTTCATAAAATTCAAATAGAAAAATCAATAGTATAGTAATTAGTTATTAAAATCTCTAATCGCTTAATAGAGCTTTATCATTATGAAATAATGATAGAGCTTTTTAAGTTGCAGTTGCGCAAGAGTATTTTAAGTTGCATTTTGACTTGTCTAGTTACTCCATATAATTTTTTTATGTAATTACATAATATACAATATTTCACTGTCCGTGTACCTAATTAGGGACATGGACAGTGAAATATGAAAGTGAACTGTTGTCATTAATTATTGAACTTGAAAGTTGTGTTGTTCCTCTTGAACAATCACGGGGGAAAGAAATGCAGCGCCGTCTTTCAACTATTAAAGGCCCTGGGCACGTTAGAATAAGGAGCCCCCTATGAGAAACAATTTTAAAAAGTCGTTTGTGATGAGAGGTTTAAAATCTTGCTAGACATTTATTATTATTAAATTAATAAACACAAATATTATTTCAATTTGGACAGATTACGGTTATGACCAATCCTGTATAAAGAGGGAAGGGTATTGTTAGTAATTGGAACTAATAACCCCATAGCTGGCAATGTACCAAGTCAGGTTAACCCTCATTCTACCAGAAACAATCATCAAAAGTTCCTAGTACTATAATCGGTATATAGTACTATAACTTATCACTTAGTGAGTGGTGCACTCCCCAGTGATATCAGTATATGCTGGACGGGTACCAGTATAAGATGAGTATGAGGTCAGGTTAGTTAGCCCATACTGGCAAATTCACTAGGAAGTTTTAACTTATTTTTTTAGGGGAACCCACATGGAGGTCAATCTGACCTGGTACATTGTTAGCAATGGGGCTATTAATTCCTAAAAATCCTCTTTTCCCATGAAGGTTGGTATTGAGGTGTAGCATGCAGGCGCGGAACGCGAATTGCCCTGGGCTATATCTACTTAGGGGCCTACTTATATTAATCAAGTAAAAAAATACACGGATCAAAAACAAGCGACCAGAAATTCCCTGTTTTTTTCGATAGATGCATACTTGCATGGGTTAATTAATTTCAGAATTGCCAACCTTATGATTGGTATTTTGACATTCTAAATATTTTTTTTATATTCTAAATATTGTTTCAATGGGGCCAGGAGGCCCTTTGTATTCTCGGCCTCTTGTATACTGTAAAAACTCATCTGTGTGGGTACCTCAGTGTCACCTATTATGCTAAACATTGGTTCGTTTGATATCCCATATTTTTATATAGTGCTAGCTCACCCCACAAATGTTGTTTTGCAATATACATTAAAATCGCTATTAAAAAATAGGGGTTGGTGATAGAAGGGCGAATTTTTATGGTTGTATGTACTTTTTAATGCTAAATCATAATAAAATAAAATATAAAAGAAAAATATTTAGGACATCCCTTATCACTTAGAGGTATGAAAAATAGATAGTAGCCGATTCTCAGACCTATTGAATATGGATGAATTTCTTAAAAGTTGGTCAATCCATTTTGGAAAAGTATAGTAACTAACTTTGTGACCTGAGAATTTTATATATAAGATGCATGTTTATATTAATGTACTAAGTATTGCTCGTCCATAAAGGTAACATAGTTGACTAGTGATTTGACATGGACTTACTTGTCCTGGGTGGGGTAGAATGATCTCCTCCGACTGAGCAGAACTGTGCGAGTGCCTCCGTTCTTCTCACCACCAATCTGCTTCACCACCACTGTGGGCTTCTTGGGCTTTGCCGCTTTGGGGTTCTTTTTGCCAACAAACTTGTACTTAGCCTGGAATTAATAAAATAAAATTACAGAATGTCAATCCTTTAATAGCGGTAGTAATGAGAAAAATAGTGACTTTTATACTACACAAGTTACTATTTAATGGCTAAATTATTATAATTATATATTTTTTTCTTTCTTTCCTTATTTTTTGCTTTACATGTGGCCTTCTTAATCAAAAGCACATATAGCATAAAGTTAAATAATAATAAATAAATAATGATTGAAACTGGAAAACAAACATTTTAGTACATTTTTGGAAACCTACCAAATTATCTATTATAATTTACTGGTAGTATAAATATTTCAAGTTTCTACAAACTCCAGAACTAACTCACATCCAAAATACTATGGAAAACAAAAAATAAAGCGGAAAAATCTCATCGCACATCATCAGCTGAACCTCAACAAACATTATCATACTTAATGATACAGTGATATTGCTACTACTAAAAATTTCAAATTAGTCCCTATTTTCCACTCTACTCATGACAGAAATTTAAGACTAGCTTTTGGTCTGGTAAACCATTTATAACTGTATTATGAAAGTATAGTCACTGATCAATAATTCAGTGATTCTGTTCCATCAATAGTCTATATCACTAATATGTTTATACTGAATTATATATTTTAAATGTCAATAAGTTTGCATAACTTGATATATTTGTTTAATAATATAGACTCTGAAATACAGACTATAAAATTTTCAATCTGTAACATATGATGCAGAAGACATGACTTTTAAATTATCAATGTTTACTTATGTTTTGATGTGCATTTAGGTGCATTAAACATATCATGGTTTGTCTTAGGCATGCTTAGCACAGATCAGTTAATTTAAACATGTACACACTTTAATTAAGTATTGTTGTTTTTATTAAAGATGTATTATAAAAAAAAATACCAGTAAATTAAATTTAATAATATCCATATTGACGGTAAAATAAGATATTTGTATGATTTAACACACTTACCTTCTTATGGAACATCTTAGTCTTGGAGAATCGGACAACTCCATTACCCAAGTCGTAATTTCTTGGTCTACCAACTTTGGGCTTCTTGACTCCGCCCGCTGGGGCCGCGGCGGGCTTGGCCGCCGCCTTGGGCTGTGGTGGAGCCATATCTGGACATACGAAAACTCGCTTTAATAACAAACTTGCCACCTGACTCAATTTGAGGTTAGGTCAATATGATTGGTATGCACAGTTAGCTTTTACAACATAGGCAACTCATTATAAACATTATTTCTATCAATCATGATAGAATTTATAATTTCAAACATCGACACATAAATTAATTCTTTATAAACCCTAAATATTGCCAATGATTATAGTCACTAACCAAAACGTCAATTTATAAAATATTAAAATTCTACAATAGTGTATAAGTAAAATATAACACAAAATCACTTGTCCATTAAAAAAAAAACTTTATTTCTGCAATATAAACACAAAATGTAGTAATTTCGAAATAATTCGATTGGATTTATTTTCAATAAAAACAATATCAACTCACTTTCAAACCGGGTTCAAGAAAAAGAATTCTGACAGATGATAAAACATATTATTTATGGTACAGTAGTGCGGTGCCTCTGTTTTAAATCCATGTCGGCGTTATCGTTTTTATATGTTTTAACAAATCTTTATACAAATCTTTACTACCAAATAGCAGTGGACTATTTTACATATTTAATTTTAAACTAATTAAATGCTACGTGGTAATTATTAATATTTTGTTCGGTACATAGTCGATTCAGTTACTTTGTCTATGACTATTTCGGTCCGGAGTTAACGAGAATGCAAGGCATGGGACACTGACATTTCAAGCAACTTTTGACATATGTTGTCAAAAGTGAAATCTTACTTGAAAAAAAAATAAAAAATCAGTGATTAAAATGGCTTCTTTGAGGAGCCCGTCTTCGCCGTCGGACGGTTATAAAAGATTCAGTGATGATTTCGCAAACACCAGCATCAACAATTACGGCTCAAATGTTACAAGTAAACGGAATCTAAGATTTTTCTATGCACTGTAGCCGCAAGATATTATGTACGCTTTTCTTGTATTAACAATACATTGTAATATATTTAACATTTTGTTTTAATTTTCACCTGTATATAGTATTAATAACTAGCTCTCTATATGTCGTTTTGAAATCGATTGGGTCCTCATCTATTGCCATAATTGGATAAATGACGTAGGCACCGTATGAGTCATGCATGAGGAAATAAATACTAACCTATCTATAACATAAACAAAATCCAAACCGTTATGGACCCGACTCGACCTAAATTCATCTGGCCCGCATAGAGCTTCGAGGCTTGTGTAGAAACCGCCAAGCATGCTGTAATCGCATAAATTGCATGCTTTTAATTTGCACAAAGTTTAGAATTGTTTTCAAATATATTTCCTGTATTTATGTCATATCAACTTTAGTAGATCCCAAAATGTAATATTTACTATTGCGACTGTAATTAAATTGTGTAGGTACCCAGTACCTGTATTGATTAAAAAAAAATCCAGTTAATATATTCTAGTGCTATGTAAATTGCAGACTAAGGCAACACTTAAATGCTGTGTCGACAAAAGGGATTGTTAGTAATGTGAGCTAACCCCATTGCTAGTACCATGTCAGGTTGACCTCCACGCAGTTCCCCCTGGAAACCGTCATGATAAATTCTTGGTGAATTCGTCATGATGGGCTAACTGACCTGATCTCGTTCATGTTATCATTCTCCACTGGTGCTCCAGGCTGCACCATTTTATTGTCATCTATAAAAAAACATTGCTAGTAATGAACCATGTCAGGTTGACTTGTACGCGGTTCCCCCTGGAAACCATAGTGATAAATTCCTGGTGAATTTGTCATGATGGGCTAACTGACCTGATCTCGCTCATGTTATCATTCACCACTAGTGCTTTTTATTTATGGGTGATAATGGAATGGAGCACCCGCCTGCTAACGGTTTACGCTGGCGGGGCAAAAGTAGAGGATGATTAAGATGAGCTAACGATGGACTAACAGAGAAAGAATTTGTGACAACAAACAACACACAAATTCACCAAGAATTTATCACGATGGTTTCCAGGGGGAACCGCGAGGAGGTCAACCTGACGTGGTGCATTGCTAGCAGTGGGATCATTATTCCACATTACTAACAATCCCCTTCCCACCCTCAACGAGTGCTCCACCAGCCTAAAGCGCAGGCGAGTGCACCATTCCATTAGGATCCTTAAAAAAATCATGAATAGTAATGAGGACTGATGACTCCATTGCTAGCAATGTCAGGTTGAGTTCCACGCAGTCCCTCCTGGAAATCATCGTGGTAAATTGCCATTTGCCAAGATGGGCTAACTAACCTGACCTCGTGCTCATCTTATAATCCTCCACTGACTGAATCTGAAACCCGAACTGAACACAATCGAACACGCGACCATAATAAACCGAGGAAGTAATGCTGTATTCTAAACCCCTAAACCACCAAGACCAACTAATAAATGATTGAGTTTTTTGTTTTCATAACAAAAAAACAACCATATTGCTATACACCTCTTTTTAAAAGTCGGTTAATGTTAATGAAGATATATCTAATTTACTCTATAGCGAAGTAAGCATATTATAACATAATATCTACATCTATTCAAATTGTTAAAAAATAAATAGATTTTTACCTATTCTCCAATACAAACCAATACATTTTACATTATTTTTAGAAACTGCGATGATATTCGATATGTATGAGTTGTATGTATGTACTTGTTACCTACTTGGAAATGTGGGCTACACATCAATGTTATCACTGATAAAATGATTGATTCCTTATCGTGCAGTCGTCGACAACATTTTCTAAAACGTACAAAACATAATATAGTCTGCTTTTTAATTCCGGAGATAAAATTGACAGGTATAAATGTCAAATTTTCAAATAAAGTTACCACATATGCAAGGGCGGATCTACCTAAGGTCTTTTTGGGCTGCAGCCCAAAGCCCCGAGTATCCTTGGGGCTCCCAGCCCCCGGGGCCCCCGGTTCAGCTAGTAATTATGCGGGAACAGCTAGTAATTATAATATTAATATGATTGCAAAAGGTCAGCGTCCGCTTTGAGATATTATGGCTATGAGATCATTTCGTGCGTGATTCACGAGTTATGACTATATCTAAATATACATATATATATATAAAACTGCATCTTCACATAAAATAAAGTCACCACCGCTATCTGTTCGTTTATGGATTTTAATGCAGTTTTCAGCAATAGATTTTTTTAATGTACGATTATGGAATGATGTACCCGCTTGCAACGGTTTACGCTGGCACCAGTGGAGGGTGATAAGATGAGCATGTGTTAGGTCAGATGTGTATCTGTTTATTGTTGTTTTGAATTGTTATTATTGGTATAAAGACAAATACTATAAGTGTTTTTTTTCATAAATCATATATAGGATGTTTATTTATTTATTTAACCAAATGTTGACTACCCCTGTCCAGTCTAGGTATTCTCATCCACATATCGCTAACAATAAGATGTCATACATTTCACCTAGTGTTTTACAATATTTTATTATAAAGTGATATAATTATAATAATATAAATATGACTAAAGTGATTAATATGTACGATAAAGTGTATTATTCTATGAGAGAGCAATGGTATAAATTAAAGTCATGTAAGTGTATTTCACAATATATAATACTAGCTGCGCCGCGACTTTGTTCGCGTGGAATAAACGACGAATTATGAATTTTCATGCAAACTTTCATCCCCTGTTTTATTTTACCCCCTTAAGGGTAAAGTTTTTACAATTTTGATTGTTATATTTATTTCTATTTAATCAACAGCTTAAAAAATAAAGCTCAAGCTTGTAGCTTTAAAAATGACATTATTTTCAAACAAACATTGATCTCTCCTTTCAACCTCTTTAAACCCTTTTTTCGGATTAAAAAGTAGACTATGTCCATTCTCAGTGTCTAGAGTATCTGTGTCCCAAATTTCATTTAAATCAGTTCAGTAGTTTTGTCGTGAAAGCGAGACAGACAGACAGACAGAGTTACTTTCACATTTATAATATTAGTAAGGACTACATATACCTACGTACGAGTAGATTTTCTTTCAAACGTAAATTACGGGAACATTATTTGAACTTGTAACCTTTCCTGTGTCCCTTTGTAGTGATGTATAGATTTACACTAGTTTAAAGGTTTTTTTTCGGACTACTCTAATGGTGTTGGCCGCAGCTGGCCTTTACAGCTTCACCGGACGTTAGGGGGCGAGTGTAGATGGCACTCCAAACCAAGGAAGGACTTATGGAGCGGCTGACGGCCAACTGCCTGACGGATACGACTTTAGTCTGAGGGCACCACTAGGGGTTCGAACCTCGGCTTAGGCCGTCGTAATTTCGATCCCCGTTTGAATTGGACGGGGGATCGATCGGAGGGGAGTTTAGTTTAAAGGTACCGTGATGTCACCGCGTGACCTATAAGTTTCTTTTTGCTATTTTCAATTAGTATAAATAAATTATTAATTTAATACTTAATCACCACAAATCCCATGGAAACATATAAAATCTAACTCTATGGTTTTACTTCCTTAGCGTTTTCTTTTAAAATACATAACTATCTAAATATACTTTATATTGTCCTTACGTTTGCGTTCAGCAATTTTCAAATTATAGTTATGCACGATGCATCTCTTTATATGTATATTAATATTTATGTTTTTGTTGTCTATTATTTGCTATAGAAAAATGTTATATTCACATTACTATTCTTCTGTTATTTGCTATACTTTTGATACGTACAATTATATTGTTCTTTCTTAAAAAATGTCTCCATAATTGTATTTACCAGCCTAGTTTTCCTTCCTTCACAATAGCACTATAATTTATTTCCTTGGGCGTGTCAAAAAATATTACCAATTAGTTAGTCTATGGTTGATAAATTGCACATATTTTTCTTGATCAGAAACAATGGCCTAAATACAATACAAATATTCAGGCATATAATGATACTCATAAATACAGTGGTATTGTTGAAAATCTATGTTTTGCGGTCGTTAATTATATATATATATATATATATACTAGCTGTTCCCGCGATTTCGTCCGCGTGGAATTTAAGTTTAGTTTTCTAAAATAAAAGTAGCCTAAGTTACTCATTATTACATCAGCTACCTGCCAAAAAAAGTCCCGTCAAAATCGGTCCAGTCATTTCAGAGATAGCCGGTACAAACAGATAGACAAAAATTGTAAAAATGTTATTTTGGTAGGTATATGTACCATATTTATATTCATATGCACGTAGTAAAAAACGGTTATTTCAATTTACAAACAGACACTAATTTTATTTATGTGGATAGGTTGATGGCGAGATAAATTAATAAAATGACACTAGTTAGTACTAGTACTCAGTTTTCAAATTAAATTTTTATTGTAATAATTTTAACATATCTATTTATTTTTCTGTAACAAATTATTGTAGGCTGCCAGTAACTATGAATCAGCAACAGATATAATTTCGATTTATTACAGCTACGCATATCAAACTCATAGAGAGATATATTCTCTCACGTTTTACAATTGTCGTTATAGTATATCATGCTGTTC